AGGTTCTCCCCCATGTCTGTTAGAGGGGCGACGTTAAGGATTTCCGACCTTTTCAGCCATGTAGGACTGGCTGGGGTTCCGAGATCCTAAAGGACACGGCTCGGGATTTTTCGGGAAAGGAGTCTCAGGAACTCGGGATAAACTTTTTTTTTTTGTGTGTGTGCGCGCGTGCGCCACTTCGGCGCGCGTGGGTGGGGAAAAAAATCAAAAAGTCACCCGAGAAAGTTGGGCAAGTCTCCGATTTGTCATCCTGTGTCTCGGGAGTTCACGCAGTCTTCGACCTCGGTTTCCCGAGCGCTGGAGTCCGCTGCCCGTATCGCATGCTCGCCTGGCTGGTACTGCTTCTTACTGGTTCCTGCGCCACTTAGGTCGTGAATCTGCCCCTGCGTTTTCAGACCCTAAATTTAAACGGCGCCCTGCAGTAGAAACAAGCCTGGACTAGAAAGCAATCATTCTTCTGCTGCCTGTGTTTTTGTCTCGTGTGCTCTTTGGCTCACTTTGGACACATTTTAACAACATTGTACTTTTGAGGGCCTTTTCATTTTCTTGGCCTGGTCTGGATCTTTTTTTATATATGAAACTACAAACCTGCCGGGCAGTATAGTGTGGCCATATTGGCTGTAGTTCTATCCCCCCCCCTATAAACTGACCAGCTAATGTGGTGCAGTGGTCAGCTTCTCTGCCTCGCAGTGCTGGTGCTGTGGCTTCAGTTTCTGGGGTGCTGTCTGCGGGCAGTTTGCGTGTTCACCCTGTGTTCACGTGGGTGTCCTCTGGGTGCTCTGGTTTCCTCCCACAGTCCAACGACAGGCCGGTGGGTTAACCTGTGTCTGTGCCCTGTGATGGACTGGCGTCCCGCCCAGGGCGTGCCCTGCCTTGCGCCCGTTGCCGGCCAGGATAGGCTCCGGCTCCCCCTCGTTGACGAATTGGATAAAGCCATGAGGAAATGAGCGAAACATGGGAATGGGAAACGGATCGGACAGAGCTCTGGGTTGTTTACGAGCTGCTCGATTTGCAGTTCAGCTCCTGTTTTGCATTGGATGACTTATTAAACTTAAGTCATATGGAGGCCACCTATAAAACCCATTTTTGTCGCACTGATTATCGCGATCG